CGACTGCTGCTATGGAGTTGACACATTTCTTCCAGCGTTTGACCCTCCTTTGTCCTTACAGCTAAACATTGGCGCATGTGTGTGTGTGTGTGTCTGGGTGTGTGCGTGTGTGTGTGTGTGTCTGGGTGTGTGCGTGTGTGAGGGGGCGTAATATAAACTCCATCTGCATTTTCATAAATCAGACAGGCAGGTTTGTTGTCACCCAGCTGAGGGTGCCTCAGAGGAAGGCCCCGGGGTCTGTGGGGATTATGTGAGTGTGCGTAGGTGTGTGTGTGTGTGTGTGTGTGGGTGTGTGTGTGTGTGTGTGTGTGTGTCATAGCATAACACATTCTCAGTAACAGCATCAATGGCTCCTCATGGCTACAGCGTTTCATAATGTTTAAAACACATTTCCTTGTTTTTTGTCTCTGTCTGTGTCTCCATTCTCATTTCCATCCTTTATGAGTCCCATTGTCCTTTCAGTACACAAGGTTGCCATGCCTGGTACTAGGGTGAAATTTTAAGTTAAAACAAAACTGTTATTTGAGATATCAAATCTCTAATATCCATTTTATCATTTTTTGATAAAATGGATAAAATGATTAAAAAATAAATGAATTAGACGTGAATAAGTTTGTTCACGCAATGTCATTGGAAAAGCATTAATTGCTAATTCTATTAAAAGGGTGGTAGTATGTAAGATTTACTTTTTTGAGATTTAAATCATGTTATGATGTTATTCCTTCGTCAAAATCAAACATGGAGTGTTGTCTTGATTCTTACATGCCTGTTTGAGAAATCCTTTAATCTCCCGTAGCAACCATTCTGCTGTTCAAAATGCCTGGGTGGACTTAGCCCCGCCTTCGAAACAACGCTCCTCCTCAGATCTACACTTTCCAAGCTCCCGCCTCACAGAGTGTGACTCCTCCACTCAGCTCCTTCAGACTAGCCTGCATAAATTAGCAATTGTGGAACTGCACATCAGCTGAGCTCATTATATCAGCTGCTTCTTGATGAAATGCTGGTAAAAACATTGTTATAAATATTAATAAAGGAGTGTTATGATGACTTCCTGAAATCAGGATTTCAGAAAGAGCAGGAGTTTCTTAAAGAGACAGAGACAATATCAACGCGTGAATTTACAAAGTCAATTTTTTAAAAAATAATATTTGATACCTATTTTTATAACAACTGAAGGCAACAACAATGTAAAATGTAATTATGTTTGTGGCTAGAAAAACATAATACTACCTATTTCAAATTTAAAGGTGGAGTGGAGGGAGGGGGAACTTTATAGATTTATTTTTAGCTTCTCTAACTTTTGTCTCATTTCTTTATTTTTATAGTAGGTGAAACAGGGACAGAGAAGGAGAATGAATGACGGAGGGGGGGCCGGGGGGGGAAACACTGACCCAGAACCTCTGGGCATGTCACACAAGCAATTTAAATTAATTTGAGACTCTGAAACGTCTCCAAGCCCATCATTTAGCACACGGCGTCGCGCTTTGTTCCTCCCCAATTACACAAAGGGAGTTTTAAACTGTTATTAATCCGCAACCTCTTCTCCTAAAAGTTTGGTTCCCAGTGCGAAGGGGTCCCCCCTCCGCCCCACCAGCCCATCCTCCAACTTCTTCCCAAAGATAGCGATGGCGTTTTAAGAGTACGAGTTCCATTTGATCTGATCCAGAGAGTTTGCGGTGGTGAAACTGATCCCCGCGGTAGATGCGCCGACAGGCCCAGGGAGCCAGCAGCCGAATGAATTAGGCAGGGATGGGAGGGGAGAAGAAGATGACTTTCTGTTTGGTCTAGGCTCTAAATAATACAGCACGATGACAGCCAGCAAACAAAAGCGTTTGTGTTGTGGCTGAGCGATACCGTGTACAGGATCCACGGAGGAATGGTTGAATTACAGCTGGGATGGAAACATCTTTTTTTATGCTTTGTTGGCTCTTAAAGATTGATAGGAAGGGGAAAGGAGAGAGCAGCGCAGTGTGTGTGTGTGTGTGTGTGTGTGTGTGTGTGTGTGTGTGTGTGTGTGTGTGTGTGTGTGTGTGTGTGTGTGTGTGTGTGTGTGAGAAACTGTCTCAAACAAAGCTAAGCTAAGCAAAGAAAGCGCTCAAGCAGAGAGGACACTTGTCTCACTTCTTCTTCTTCTCTTTTTTTTTTTTCAGCGCTGCTTCAGGGCGAAAGACAACAAATGACTTTCAAGTAATAGTATCCATATTGCCCCCTGAATGTGATTAAACATAAATGTGGGAAGTCTCGGCTCTGAGATTTGTCCCTGAATTATTGACAACGCTATATTATTACGCTCGCGCGCAAAGTATTCCATCTTACAATGCTCATTTCACCCCACGTGCATTTTTTTAAACATTTCTGCATCAGAAAAATAATTGAAACGCCTGTGAGCTGCTGAATATTTAATTTACCTCCACCACTTTTTTGTGTAAATTTCACAGGCTTAATAATGACTTTATGCGCCCCCCTCATTCCCCTCATCCCACTCATCCCCCTCCCAAAAAAGAGATGAATTTTTTAGGCATTTTAAATAATTAAGCCCGAAGTGTTTGGATGGCGGCTGAGTCTCGATAAACTAATCTGAGACTGATGGGCGCAGAAGGGAGCGAGGGAAAATGGGGTCTGAGAGGGACATTAGAAATGAATTATTTTATCAGCTTCTATTTATTATTAACACCGAGAGATCCCATTAGCATTCATAGACAAAGGGGCTCCTGGGAGGGGGCCCTGTGGATTTCAAGGTGATACATTAAAACAGAAAAGTTAAAGATGGGGGGCAGGAGGGAAGTATCCGTGGCGGTCCATGATCTGCATACGAGCAAACATCTTTTAGCCAGTGAAGTCAGCAGGGTTTCTTAAGGTGGATTTTCTTATAATAGGGAAATAACGTCCTTTTCCAAACTTTCAAGGTTCTAGTCTCAGAGTAGTATGCTAGCGGCTAACGGTTACTAAACCAAGATATCTGCAAAATCTATAGAACTCTTTGTTACCACAACAATATTCATTGCTATTTTGGTTTGTGACACATCTTATTCACTTACATAGACAAAAATTAAACTTGGCTGAGCTGTGGCGGTAGGCACCGCACATCCTGGCAGATATGGTCTCGTTTCTGGTGACAGCGGTTGATTGTCTTGTTGAAAAAAATCAATATCGCAGTATCAAATAGTGACGTCACTTAAGTGAACTTGTTCACCGCGAGGCATTATGTGGTCCATACAGGATGCTGTGATGTTAATTTAGCCACAAAAAAGAAGGTTGCTGTTGCGGCATATGTTTTGTTGTTTTAGCATTTTTAAAATATTTCTCTTTGTATTAAAACGAAATTCTTACTTTTGCACGTAATAATTAAGTTCTTAAGAAAAATCACCAGGAGGAAATAGTTAAAATCTTGAAAAGCCAATGTTCAGTTGAACCACTGCAGTTCTTATTTGTGTATTAAAGTATTTTTATTTACACTTGGAGGCTGATTTCAGACTGCTTTTTGTCTGCCTAAAAATGTTTACATGTATATATTTTTTGACTCACTATGCATACATTACGACATTTTTTTTTTTTGGTCTATTTATGAAAATAGAGTAATTCTGGTCACTGTAAGAGGAAAAATATATAGTATATAGATTGAACCATAATTAGTATGTAGAGATACTGGACTTTGGACCTGAAATACTTGGGTATGAAACAATAAAATCTGAAAAAGTGTAGAATGGCAAAGGGTTGGAACGACCAACAACTGACTCTACTATCCTTTTATCATTTAACCAAATTCAGTAAGATAAGTATTTCTACCTGTGGAGGAATCTTTGAGGAAAGAACAAAAAAGAAAAAAATGATCCAATCTCCATCTGTTTGATGAGAGTGAGGGCCTGCTATCCTGAGCTGAAGAGTCAGATCCCTTTTTCCTTCAGATCTAATAAAAAAGCTTTTAAAAAAACCCATATAGTTCCGATCTCATTTCCATCTCAGCCAACAGCAGCATGCACACACACACACACACACACACACCACACACACACACAGACACACACACACACACACACACACACACACACACACACACACACACACACACACACACTCACTGGGCCTTTTATGAAAATATCCTAAAGTCAATCAGGTTCTGCAAATTTTATGAGCTGGCCGTCGCCCTTCTGAATTTCTTAACAGGTTGTCAAAGTAATCAAGGAGCTCTGAGCGCTGAATCAGAAAATCAGCTCCTCCAGCCTGTTATTAACAGACCGTTCCCTCGTCTCGACCCTTCGCTGCTGCTGTCCTCCTCCTCCTCCAGCAGGCATGTGTGGTCGCTCCAACAGCCTCATAACCACAAAATTCAGGGGTGAAATGCAAGCTTGTTCCTTATTATTACACACGCCGAGAGAACTTTAAAGGAGAAACAGAATAAGATCAAATCTTCCTGCTGCCGCAGGGCCGCAGTAACAAAGACGTGCGTCAGTTTTGGTGCCATAAAGAAAAATGATTTTACTCATGAAAATTATGATACCAGCGAGTGTGAATTAGTGCGCTCTATTATGTATTTATGCTTTAAGGCACTTTGAACGACATTGTTGCTGAAATGTGTTACGTAAATAAACAATTGATTTATTGAATAAGAATATGACAAAAATAAAATGACCAATTGTCAAAGAAAATAGAAATCTGGAAGCACAAGGAGCACTACATGGTGGGCAAAAGTGAAATCCAGCAAGTCGTGACCGAAAATGAGGAGCTTACATATCAGGCATCTCTATTCCACTGGAATCGAGAACCGATGGAAGATCGTTAATGAGCTGCAGCTGTGAGACCAGACATGGAGACGGGAGAAAGAGAGGAGGAGGAAGAAAACAGGAAACAGAAAAAAGACATTTAACGCGGACAAGAATTACGTAAACATAAAGACTGGCAAGTGTGATCCAATCATAATTAAATAAGCAGCAAAAAATAAGAAAACTTAAGTGAAAGCAAAAGAAAAGAACTAATAAAAGGATGAACAGAACACAAAAAGATCTGCCAGAATTATGTCACTTTATTATAATGAATCCGTTTTGGCTGCCAAGTGGGGCATCAGCATTCAATATGGCCGCATGAAAACATAAACTGGGGTTTTAGTCTAGTTTATGTATCTGGGGGAAATGAATAAAACCAAACCCATTTGAGAAACAATAAGGCCGAGTTGGGGTTTGCCAGCAACATGTCACCATGACAACAAAGAGGACTCTTCATTGGATAAATACAGGCAAAATAAAAGGTAGCTGAATTTCCTGGAAATTTGCAATTGTAATTCAAGATACTTTGAAGAAACATCAACCGAGGATTTTCCTGAGCTCCTCTCTGCATTTTCTTAGAATCGCTTTCAATTTTTGGATATTTTTTTTCTTCCAATCTCCAGGCTCCCTCTGTTCTGCCGTGGAGGTTGTTGGGTAATATCAGCGGATGTGTGAGCGCCTGGAGTGGTGGAGCTCCTCTGTGACCAAATATTCATCTCCTCTCCACACCCAAAAGAACCCATTAATATTTCCAATTAATGCAAATAACCTTAAATGATGAATAATTGTCCCCCGTATCAGGATTCAATTACCTTTTAAACACTGTCGAATTGCTGATTGAAAATTAGGAATAATTATTTTCTAGAAAAAAAAAGTGTCTCCAGTAATCAGGAGAGAGAGGTAAAAGATTTCACCACAGCATCGCCAGTACTCTGTCTCTACAACGTCACTAATTATGATTAACTAAAATAACAAAAACTGAATATTTTAGTTAACCGAAACAATTGATGTTTTTAACTTCACAGTTAAAGTTGGGACACACCTTTGAGGGGAATAGCCTCAACATCCTCACCAGTGTTCATAATTTTGTTTCAGTCTCACACAATGTTTCGCCACATATCACAGAGTTCAGTCCTCTGATGACATCACAGCATCCTCTTGTTACTCCCAACAGCCTGCTGGGTAAATTACGCAGCGCTCTCAGAGGTGTGGTTGGTTTTCTCCCACTTGGAAAAACAGATCACATTGGACGTGTGCATGGTGAACTCAGCACAACATCACATTACAAGTCACGGCTTCTTGGAAGCAGCTGATCTAACTGTTTGGTCAGTGTGCATCAGTTTCTTTGAACCCAGCAGCTACAAATGACTAACTGATGACTGAAAAGAGCGTCAAGGCCAAAGGTTCAACGTGCCCCTCATGTGTGAAACAACAGCACCATCTGCAGGTGGAGGATATACTGAGCTGAACATGCAAGAAAAAAAAAAAAGTCTGCGTTTCCCATGTAAAAAACAGCTGTTCAGTGACGGCTTCAGAGGTTTACTGTATCAGAGAACTACAGGCGAAGTGGAGATCAAGGAGGACAGCGGACGAGTCGGGGAGAAGGTTGTGGCAAAGTTTAAAACAAAAATTAGGTCACAATCGAATATATTCAAGGAACAAAAGAAAAAAAGAAAAAAGTCACAGAATCATTAAATCCATTTACTGGATGTGAAATGAGGTCATAAGTTCATTATCATTTTCTATTTTATTAGAAGGTAGTTAGCGTTAGCCTCAACCACCTCGAGTCACAGAATGAAATGCGACGCAATGTCTAAACTACAAAGAATACAAACTTTAAGACCTATGATTAACAAATTTAAGACCTACTTACAATTTCTAAATGAATTTGAGACATTTTAAGACTTTAATTTTAGATAAGTGAATTTAAGACTTTTAAGAATCTGCCAAACATACGGATATTCAAAGGGTGTCTACGACTGTATATTGGTTTAAATAAATCTTCATCTGTGATTTCATTAGTAAACAAAGAAATAAATCAATAACACTAAAACATATATTGCTAATGATCTTAGGTATATCTGTTAATATCTTGAGTTAAAACACAAGTTTCTTTGGTTGTTCCCAGGGAAACTCTTTCCTTCCAAAGTGACCGTAGCAGGCCGTGGCCTGGTATATCGGCCGCTTTAGTCCCAGCTCTCTGTAAATGACAGGAAACAGCGTCACACACGCAGGTTTTACTTCAGGGCTCATACGTAATGAGATTGGGGAGGTGGGAGGGACTTTATGTACCTCACAACGACTCCAGGTCGGAGGTCAAAGTTCTTCTTCACTATCTGCAGCAGCTCATCTTCGTCCCTGTCCGAAGTGCCGTAGTGGAAGACGGTGATGGAGAGCGGGTGACTCACGGCGATGGCGTACGAGATCTGAGAGGAATACCACGAAAAGCATCACGAACTGCACTATTTGGCCGTTCCAAAATAAATCTGCTTACTGGAAACATGGCAATTTCGAAATAAACTCATTTATCAATAAAAAAAGATTTGGCGTAGGGATGAGATGTTTGTTTTTAGCTGTATTCAAGTTGGTTTAATTTGCAAAGCTGCTAATTTTTTCACACCACATGAGTCACATGACCAACAACCAGAAGTTGCCACTAGTGCAAGCCAAGCAGAGGATGACAGAAAGTTAGCAGGATGACGGGCCAGCATGTTTTCCAACAGCTTATTGATTGAACAAATGTATTCAGGTGTGACTTTTAATCGCGTTTCTTATGTAATGAAAACACAGCAATTGCAACATTGTGTTTTTTCGTCAGTAGCGTAATATCGACAAGGTTTTGTGCACATCTAATTTAACTTTTAACATTTATTTTTTACACAAAAACATGGTGGACTGCACTAGTGCCCTTACTACCAAGCTTGGTGTGGGTTTTCTGGAGGAAACCCTGCATATCATTTCTTTTACAGTTACCAGGAACACTGTGTGGGTCTCACCTGAACGAGGGCCCTCTTGCACAGCCCCGCTTTGACCAGAGACTTGGCGACCCAACGGGCCGCATAGGCACCTGACCGATCCACTTTGGAATAGTCCTTCCCGGAAAAAGCTCCACCTCCGTGGCCGCCCCACCCTCCGTAGGTGTCCACGATGATTTTACGTCCCGTGAGTCCTGCGTCACCCTGTAGGCATAGATAACATATCCCCAACATGTTGCGTTCTAAAAAGATCTTTCACGCCTGTAGTTGTGTCGACGCCAACCTGTGGGCCTCCCATTAGAAACTTGCCACTCGGCAGCAGGTGGTAGATGGTTTTCTCATCCAGATACTTGGCAGGAACGACAACTTTCACCACCTTCTCCATCAGGTTGTGCCTGATCTCCTGCAGGGTGATGTCGGGGCTGTGCTGCACGGAGATGACCACGGTGTGGACGCGCAGCGGCTCCAGGGCGCCCTCGCTGTCTCGGTACTCCACCGTAACCTGACGGTCCGCGACAGAGACAACGAGGCTAACGAAAACAGAACAACGACACAAAATGTTGAAGGGTAAGTTTCCACACCTGTGACTTGGAGTCTGGTAGTATCCAAGGACACTCTCCGTTAAGCGAAAGCTCCCTCATCCTGTGGTTGAGTTTGTGAGCCAGCAGGAGGGTTAGAGGCATGCACTCCTCTGTCTCGTCAGTGGCGTAGCCAAACATCAAGCCCTGGAAATAAAAACATCATGTGATTGAAGGCGTCCAATGCCTTTTGGTCTGGATTTCAACAAAAACTAACAGATTGATATGCTTTGATTGAAGCCTTCCATTATAGATCTGTCGGCATTTCCTCGTTTGCCCCTGCCTGCTCCTTCCCCAGCTGCATCCACTCACCTGTAATTAGCTCTTCTGATTGTATTGTCATTGTTTTCTTCATTAAGCTCTGCTGTTCCTCTCCTGATCCTGTTTTCTGAACGTCTTTTGCTCGTTTGAATACACTTTGATCAAGTTCATTCATGACTCCAGTCCTTGAATGAACTCCATGGTCCTACCATTAATAAGTCTATCCCAATAAGCAATTAATCTCATAATAAATTCAGATGAGCTCAAAAATTTCCATTCTGATGATTAATACTTTTTGAAGGGCAAGTCTGTTTACAACGACTTCATAACCCGTGTTATTTACAGTTTTGGCTGTTTGTGATTTTTATTTGTTTGTTGTTGTCAAGTTTTATTTGGCAATAAATTTTCACTTACCCATGACAGACGCAAGAAAGCTGGCTGGCTGGCATGCTAGTCAGGGTATATTAACAGCTACTCAGTGGTATGAGAATGTACGAGATTAAATAGTCCTGCCACAACAAATTTAAAACTTTTAATATAAGCCAAATTAAATTTTTTTAAAATTAATTGAAGACATTTGAAGGCTTTAATTTTTGATATATAAATTTAAGACTTTTTGAGGATGCTCAGACTCTCTTTAAATCACGTGCATTAACAGTATAAGGTCAGATGCTGAACCTGATCCCCAGCCCCAATGTCCTCCTGATCTCTTCCTTCAAACACACAGTCTGATATCTCCCCGGCCTGCGGCTCCAGGGCCACCAGCACGTTGCAGGTCTTGTAGTCGAAACCTGAAGACAAAAACAAGCCGAAAGGTTTTTGATCTATTGCCTGATTTTCTGGGGACATTCCTGCAAACGTCCACAAATAAGTCATACCTTTCGACGAGTCATCGTAGCCGATCTTCTTGATGGTTTCTCGGACGACGGACTGAAGATCCACGATGGCTTTAGAGGTCACTTCTCCAACCAGTAAAATCATGCCAGTCTTTGCCACACACTCTGGAATCAGGATTTAGCCAATCTCTTACGTTTTTGTTTAATGTGACAGAGTTTCCAAAGTTAACATGTTTTAATAAGCAGATTTAACATGGCTGCCAACAACAGTATTCTACAGGGAATAATGCATAATATATCAGAATCCACATCGTACCAATTTAATAAGTAAAACTGAGCCAATATTAACAAACGATGTTTATTTCCGTCCCATTGCTGTTTGTGTTCGTGGAGGTGGTATTTGTTTGGTCATGTGGCTGTGATAGTGATGCAGCAAAGGATTATGGGGTGTTTAACTGAAGTACAGAAATATATGATAGTGCTGCTGTGTTGTTTTTTTTTTCTCAAATGGTGTTAAAAGGGAGGAAAAATATATACGAGAGATGATTACAGAACATCATTTATGAGATTAGTGAAGTTCACTCACCACAGGCCACCTTAGAGTCCGGGTCCTGACTCAGGTAAGCATCCAGGACGGCGTCGCTGATCTGATCGCACATTTTATCTGCAGAAACAAAAGACATCAAGTTTAAATAGAGAACGGGAACAGAAGTGTCCGTAAAACAATCAGACACTCACCGGTCTTCACTGAAATAATATATATTTGTTTAATCGCTGAGTCATTAAAGCAATCATTAAATTATTATAAAGTTGAAGTATGTAAGTTTTATGACAAGATCTTTTTTTACATGTTTGTTCAAACTCATTATGTCGTGACATTGTGGTATGACACAGATAATCTGAAAAAAGATAATCTATGTATTTTTTTAATTTTTTTTTATCAGAAGTGACGTATTTCTTCAAACGGAGGAGGTGGAGAATCTTTTCACTGATTTTCTACTACCTTACTGATTTACTGATTTTCTACTACCTTACTACCAAGCTTGGTGTGGTTTTCTGGAGGAAACCCTGCGTATCATTTCTTTTACAGTTACCAGGAACACTGTGTGGGTCTCACCTGAACGAGGGCCCTCTTGCACAGCCCCGCTTGACCAGAAACAACAATGAGATTAGTGATTGTATATAGTTTTAACAGCTATATATATATATATATATATATATATATATATATATATATATATATATATATATATATATATATATATATATATACCTTTTAAAATAAAAGTTGGCACTTTTGGACCTCCATACAATGTTCTGAACCGTTTCCATTCGACTTTCTTTCGCATGAAAATTTTGTGGCATAAACTGAACGTTTAGTCCGTTTTCCTCTGTAAGCGCCATTGAAATGACTACAGCATACTAACTCAGAGTTAGTATGATACATGCAGTATCGTTTTCAGAACAGCTCGACCGAATCCGCACATGTGCAGACAGTGTGTTCTGCAGCCTTCCTTCGCCATTGTGTGTGTGTGTGTGTGTGTGTGTGCGTGTGCGTGTGTGTGTGTGTGTGTGTGTGTGTGTGTGTGTGTGCGTGTGCGTGTGCTCTGTGTCGGTCTTTGTGCTGTGAGTGGAACAGTACCGGAGTGTCCTTCCCCCACAGACTCGGACGTGAACAGGAAAGTCTTCCCGCTGCGCTTTCCTCTGCTGGGGTTCATCTCTGCTGGAGAGAGACGCAGGTTTAGCGGAGTTCAAACGTGGCGACGCAGAGTTACGAAAAAAAAAAATTAGAGCTGGATTTGTGACCGCAGCGGCTGTAAAAAGCAATGATTTACTAAGTGTGGAGTTTGAAGCTCATGTTGGTTTTAGATAAGTCAGCAGGACGAACTTTTTTTCCCCTTCAGCGCCGGAGCGGAAGTGAGCTGCTGTAAATCATCTCGGTGAAAGTTTGCAGGGCCTTTCCGAACCCTCCAGGAATGCTTGTCAGGAGAGGAGCCGCTGGGTGTCGCTGTGGTGTTACATTTAACTGAAACCAGAGCATTTTGACTACAGTGAAATGCATGTAATATTAGTTTCTATGGTAGACCATTGCTGCCATGTGTTGCTCTCTGTGCGGTTTGTGGACTGAAATCTCGAGTTGAGAGAACATGGCCTGCAAACACACACGGTTGGTATAAAAAAAAGATAAAACATTTTTCTTAAGATTTTGACTTTGACCAGAAGGCTAAAGTCAAAATGAATTCTGAAAAAATAAGAATTATTATTATTTCTTTTTTGTCAGTGGTCTTTATCCACTGGTGTAGATGGACACTTGTTTAAAAAAAACACCAGCAAGTTGCTTGATCTTAGACAAAAAAAAAATCTTCCGGCCCAGAAAGCAAACAAATCATGCCAAAAATGTTACAAACTGTACTCCTACGTCATAATAACAACATCGTGTGAGACCCTATTAAAGTTTTCAATCAACAATTTGTAGGTCAATTCCACACAAATTTGGTTAGTTAGTTTCTTATGGAGCAAAAAAAAAAAAAAAAAAGGCACGTTTACATTGGGATTCAACAAAAATGTTTTTTTTTGTGTGTTGACTTACAGAACAGAGACAGTGAGAAGTTACTTTGACCTTTAGTCACTTGGAGAAGCCAAAAACAGCAGTATCTGTGTTTTTTTTCTTTTTTTTTTTTTTTTTTTGCTTTAGTGTTCTGTTGGGAAACCCCAGATTTCAGTATCAAAAGGAAAGTGAAAAAACCCAACTGTAAAAATCTGGTGTTGCCTCACAGATTACAGACAAACCCCAAACATTAATGTAAACTCTGCTTTAGACAGTTTGTCTAAAGTCTTTAAGGTTTTATTACTCTGCAGTCATTTCAGTATTTTTGCTGACATGCAGGATCCTCAACGTCCGTTGATGTGACTCATGCCCAGGTTCGGCTTCATTTGAGGAAAAGTTTGACTCACAGAGGAGCTTCCAATAGACCAATGTTTTTTAAGCTTCATTTATTTTGTTTGTCTCTGTTGAATTAATGCACAAATTCCCCAGGTTGTTGTGTTGCAAAACATGTGAGGAACAAATACAAGAAGAGAGGAATAAAAACTGCATTCGGCTTGAGATTTTATTCACATTTCAGTCTGTCTTCGACTGGAAATGCTGTTGATTAGAAACTTTAATACGTTTATTACTGCTGGGTTTTTTTTAAACGTTTTTACTCCACTTTAGACCTCTTAGGTTTGGAAGAATGTCTTAAATTTTTTACAAAAAAAATCAATAATATTGGACCAGAAATTGATTAGGGCAATAAGCTCAAGAGAAATGCAAATAAATATAAAACCTTAAAAAGAAAACAACAAAATTACAGAAGCTACTTTCTGCCATGAAAGAAATAAGAGGAAAAAAATCATTGTTAAGAAAGTCATAATTATGAGACTGAAAGTCATAATCTCAACTTTCAAAGTTGTTGTTCTCTCTCTTATAAGTATGACTGTGTAAGTCTAAATTTTGACTTTCTGTCTCATAATTATACTTTAAAAGTTGAAAACATGTCGTCCTGGTTTGGTCTTCTGCTTTCTGTCCTGGCAAAAATGGACTTCCATACAAAACAGAGCAACAAGTAGAAAGAGACAGAAAATGGTTGAAACCAGGTCCAGAACTACAAAAAGAAATTAATAAAAAATAAATAAATAGAAACGCTCAGCAACCATAAAGAGGCACCAAGCTGCTACAAAAAGGTTATGAACTCAACAGGTGTTTGAAATATGCTGTAAGGAAACGTGGCTACATGACTTCAGGAGGCAACTGAGTTATTCCTGGTTTTGTGCTTCATAGTTTACCAGCTTTTATGATTCAGCGGGAATCAAATGGGAGTCAGAACCAAAACAGCGCATTACAAACATGATGACATACAGTCTCGTTAAATTACACGCAAGATGTGAGAACGTTTGTGGCAATTTTATCTCCACAAATTGTTAAAAGTAAAATCTTAATTGCAAAGGAAATGGATAAAAATACACGATTTGTTTCAAATATACACATAAAGCCAAGAGAAAAAAAATCATTCATACCTCAAAAAAAAAAAAATTGAGGTCAAAGATACAAACAACTCACAAAATAACTATGACATCATAACTTTACATTATGTACAGCCGGGTCATGAAGATCAGACAATACATAACTGAGGGCGTAATCTAATAAAACCTAAAAAGAAACTCCTGCTTCACTGTGGTCTGTGTGAAGCAGACAGCAACTGAAACGACGATGAGGAAATGAAGTGGAGCAAGAGCGTGACTTCACCTCACCCCCTTTATTGCCTTGCAAATCTGCCTGTGTCGAAAACACACTCAGCCCTTTGCCCGGACATATCAGCAGAACGCCGGCCTGGATCCTCTCCAGACAGCTGATGGTATGTAAAAACACACACACACAAAAACACATAGAAATGCAACTAAGAGATGTGTTGGACAAACTAGTTATATTTTCCCCTCATTTTAAATACTAGAGAACTCTCTTTTTTTTTTGTCTTGTTAATGAATATGCAGCAGCTCTAGTTTGTGAAGCAGGAAATGGAAGAAGAGTGAATGAGGGCAGAGTCGCTTGACTTCTTTGCTGGTGATGGTAAACGGCTCTAAAGCCATTGAGAGTTTGATTGAGGCAACTGCTGGTTAATAGATAACTGAGCGGAGGCTCAACCTTTAGCAACAGTTTGTTCAGCCCAGGCTGTGTGAGTCATATGAGAGAAGAAGAAGCTCTCTGAAGATCCCCTGCTTCTGTTTACCACAGGTGGGACTGCAGCTGGAGGGCTTTAGTTTGATTTCATTCACATGAAGCTGAGTTTGATTCGTTGGGACTGAAAGATACGATGGTAAGTGTAAAATTTTTATTTCTTAAACACAAAAGTTTACTTTAGGGTTTATTTTAATGGATATTCTTTATGTTTTAAGTGGCTGCCCGGTTTTCAGCTCGACTCAGTTGACCTTGTTTTGAGATTTTAGAGCTAGTTTATGTCAAGCTGATCCAGTTGAAAATAGGTCAGGCATCAAAGCACTTCCTGTATAGAACAGTACCAGGAAGAGAAGCCCACAGCAGGAACTCCTCTGTGTGCTTTGGCCTGCGAGACTTTCAGTTTCCGTTAAATGTTTGACCCCAGCCAAAAACTGAGAGCGTCGCCACCGTTTGTGTCCCGTACAGGCCGAAGCGAACCCTCAGCCGTCCGCCGCGGCCTCCTCAGGCACGTTCGACCAGGTGCAGAGTCAGGTCAATGAAGTTAAAGTTATTCTGAAGGACAACATCAACAAGGTGCTGGAGAGGGGCGACAAAATAGACGACCTCATCGGGAAGACGGACGACCTCCAAGCATCTGTGAGTACGAGATGAAAAATGAAGTGGAAGCTTGAACCACTCACTCTGTGCTTCACGTACCTTTGAATCTATATTAACACTCGCTGGGTTTCCATTAAGTTACACCGTTTAAAATGACAAAACTACATCTGCTTAATAGATATAGTTTATCTGCTTAATAGAAAGAAAAAGGTGTGAAACTGCAGTGAGAACACATGTTTCACATCATATGAGTCACATGATCAGCAACCGGATGTTACTACTGCAGAAAACAACAGGAAGTAGGAGGAGGATGGATTGTCTTTGGTTCTTTCATATGATGTGTGGCATCGTATGACTCTTATAACGTTGTGTCATTCCATTGTGTTGAATCCATCGCTCTTCTAGAAAACAACCGACTACAATTTCCCCAAAACGCGGCGCACATAGCCGCTTCCGAGTAGTCAGAGTTCACCGCTCCAACACCTGAATAAGACGCCAAGGTCTCTGATGTCTGACAGATGAATATCTTTCATGTAACTGTTTGCACCTGTTGCTGCCATGACTTTTAATGACTTACCAGCGAATGGACCTTCTAGACACAGATGTTTTTAAACTGCGTTCACTTGTGAGACAATCACTGCACTCAGGCCATCTCTAGTCCACGCATTGAGACGACCAGCACCAGTTGACTGGACCTCTGTTGAATTGGGTCGGTCACTTTAAACAGATCATTTATGTTATGGTGCATATTTTTATAGAAATCAGTTTTCCCTTTGATATTATCATGGTGAATAATATAAAGAATATAGCTTAAAAATAAACTAGATTACATGACTTAGGATAGCAGAGGATAAATGATGGAATAAAAAAACAGCATTATACAAATTATTCTGTAGAAAAAAAATTATGTAATGCTCAATTATCAATCTGCATATGTTGTACTAAATTTGCAAATGCATATATTGCATATTGTGCTTTTTAGCTGAATGTTTTTACTAGAGCGTTTTCTCTTGAAAAGCTTGAATCCACACGACTTAGCATCCGCAGCTCAAGTTACATTTCTATACAAATTAGCCTGGGAGTGCGAGGGAAGTTTTAAATCTGTTCCTGCAGCTTCACCCAACAATCACCGACATATAAGGACAGCTACATTCAAGTTTTTCAATTTCCGACTTAATGTCCCCTTAAAAAACAGCAACATGATTGATGTGTTTTAACATTCTTCAATGCAAAAATGAAAACTTTGGATTTTTTTGTAGATTGGAACGCCGTCACATTAGTGTCATGTTCATCCGAGGGTTTAAATGATGTATTTATTTATTTTTTTGCCAAAATGTTCTTATTCCAAATGGGACGATTATTGTGTTAAACAGAGAATAGAAATGTTTTATTTATCCAATGCAAATGGAGGCCTTCCTGAACAAGAAATTGAGAGAGAAAAGAAACCTGTAGCTTACAGGTTGGAACGGTGATCTGGAAATAAGCCCAAAAAATTGATGCAAAGCATCGAGGATTGTAGGAGTAAGGTGGAAATTCTTTTCAAACACTTTCACTTTATTGTAGCCTCTATTTTACAGGTGTTCTGGAGGTAAAACATTGTAACCATACTGATTATTTCGACCGTCGGAAAACTAACGTGTCACATGATGGTTGCAGAAATATACACTGGCCCGATGTGAGCGCTTTAAACTGTAAAACAAAGATACATTTTAAGCCAAAAGAGAGTAGAGTCCAACATCACAAATCGTCATGGTAATCATTTCATCTGGGGATTATTTTAGATTACATATCTTCTACAGCTAAGGAAAAAGCGGTCAAACCACAGCACAGTGTTATGCTGGGAATCCCATATAACAGTGTTGTTTTGAACAGTAATGGTATACCGTACTTTTCTACAAAGCCGAATTACGACCAATACAGATAGAAAAAAAAGGAGTAAGTCTCCAACAAAAAACATAGACATTTTTAGATTCATCTCAGAAATGACCTTGCTCTTTCTACAGAATTCCTGAGATTCTTTGCTAGAAATGTACTCCCTAATGCGCTTTCATGCTCCCCTGTATTTTAATGTATACATTATCGCCAACAGCAATCGACCAGTGCTGTTTGTGTTATTGTCATGAAGAGTCAGAATGTAAACAAAGCAGTTTCTCATCGGCCTGATGTGACGAGCGGTCATGTTTAAAATGGAGGCCGAGGTTTGTTGCTGGTGAGACAGCAGCAAACTCTCACGGGAGGAATTCAAATTTCATTCAGTTCCACTTCCAAACTAAACATTCGGACTTCCGCCAAAGCAGCAGAAACCATTGTCTTCTTGTAAATGCTACTGTTTCCTTTGGCTGCTTTGATTGGCAGCCTGTCAGAACGCCGCATTTCCTTTATTCGCTGAAAATAAATTCATACCCAAGTTATCATTTTTTAGAAATTCAGAGCTGCTCTGGAAAATCACATCAAATTAACCAAGCAGAAGAAGCATTTGTCCGATTCCAACCTAAATGAACCAGTTTTCCAACAAAACGTAGTAAAACAGAGGCATCCAAACGTTTTGCCAGGTGGACTAAAAATCTCACGTTAAAAGGGACATAAACATTTTATTTTTGTTCTTTTTTTTAAACTTAAATAAATGAAAGAAACAATACTTTTAATAAAATGAACAAGATTCATAAAGAAATTTTAATCTCTAAATCATATGGATCTGTAAATGTGAAGTCTCCTACATTTTTCAGGCTGATGGTTTTCTGTCTTTCTTTAAAAAGTAGTTTTTTCAGTTCGGCGAATTGGTGCAAAGTTGCTAAACGTTTGTGGACCTGCTTCCCATTCAACTAAATCTATAGCAAAAGGTCTGCAAAGTACAAGAAAAAATGTTGATGTCATAGCGAAAAATTCTGAAAATTTTACCACAAAATCATTCCATGGTCCTCAAATGGCCCTTGGCCCACACGTTGGACACCACTGCTACAACCATTTGAGGAGCCAAAGTGAAAAACTCTTCAAACTATGCAGACAGAAGCTAACTTGTCCTGTAGTATAAACCCTTTAGCTTGCTTCACTCATGTACACATGCAGTAAACTATCAATCAGAAGTATTATGATGGTACTTTTGTATTTCACAATAAGAAGCCTAAAAAACGGGTGGAGTATAGTCACCGGTAGCGAAGGCCAACTGAAGCCTGGTGAAGCAATGAAGCTTCGCCCAAAGGTCCGTCCCTCAGTGGTTCATTCATTTCTCACTAGTGACATCTGCTGGTGAAACTGTGGCCTCGTCACTCAGAGACATACTTAAAAAAAATGAGTAAATGCAATATTGTCACAACGTTTAGTAACAGGAGAGTCAATTAAATCCTATTTAACTAATCTTTTTTAGTTATTCAAATAATTTGTAGTCAGTGATGGTATATAGTGGCTGATTTGACAGGAGACAGTTGTTTTAGTGTATTCAGAGTGCGGTGCTTGTTGGGGCAGTCGGTACTCTTTCAGATTTGATTTGCCTCCTGAAAAAACAAAAATTCTTCAAAGATCCTCTTTTTCTTGGATTCCTTCTGGCTCCCTAATCTAATCCCTTACATTTCCACCCATTAATTTTACTCTTCCAACAGCTTTAAGTGCAGAACAAAGAAACGGTGGAAATTTCAAGAAGGTGATCATTTTGGAGGTGAAGGGGTTAATGACCCGTGCAATGCGAGGCGTCGTTTGTAGTTTTCCACAAGACGACCCCAGCGTGATGCTGTCACTAGTTCCCGGATGAAGCCGTCTTTAAGAAAACGCAGCATCGGCAGGTTACAGCGAGTCAGCTGCTGCCAGGATATATTAGCAGCTAGCAAAAAGTATCTAAGGAGTAAATGTAAGAGGTTAAATAATTAAATAGTTTGTCCTGCCACAAAAAAATAAAAAATCAAGACATGTGGGACGGGCCTAATGTTATCACTTCTAACTCCCTGTCCGTCCAATTTCACTGTGAAATGGATTCCAATGGTGCCAAAAAAAAGAGCTGCGATTAAAGTATCTGATGTCAATTTATATAGGACATTTTAAGACTCTAATTTCAGATTTAAAAAAAGAAAAAAAGTAAGACTTTTTAAGGATGTGCAGACAGCCTGCTGAGTGAAGTTGTCCGACTTCACTTTGCAGGAACCTTAAGATTTTTTTGAGGCCGTTTCAACCTCAAAAAAAGGTGGATAGCCTCAAAATATCTGTAGAAAGATGAAAAACCACATCTTGTGTTTGCCTATCACAGCAAATCTAAGAAAACATCCTGAAGTTTGTGGTTGTAACATTACAAACAAGGACAAAGTCCAAGAATAGACTTTCCCCAGTCCGTCCTTCACAACAGCTTCGTCATAATTGGCTCCGTTTGCTTTTTTCAGGCCGACTCCTTCCAGAGAACGTCGACGCGGGTCGCCCGGAAGTACTGGTGGAAGAACATTAAAATGATGATCCTCATCGGTGTGATTGTGCTGATCATCCTGATACTCATAATCCTTGCTGCCCTCAAAGTCATTTAACCTTTGACCCCAGAAGTCACCACCATTCAACTCATTTGCACACATAAAACGTGTTGTTTTATATCTCAGAGATGTGTATGTAAATTTAAATTTAAACAGAGCATGACAAGACATTAAGGCCTCTATGATGATGTGAAGTTGGGGAAAAAGAAGAGATTCAATATAATAATTTCGTTTGCTGGCATGAAGCCATGACACTCCAGATGAATGCGAAACCAATTTGATCCATGTTCTTCAACAAACACAAACGAGAAGCTCTTGTTTGATTGTAGTCTTTTTGTTTTTTTTTTTCATTTTTATTCTTGTTATTTTGATCATTTTAATGTCCAATACATCACGTGTATATAATGTACGTTTCTGGATGCCAAACTCTGTAAGAATATTTGTATTATATGACTGATGAAACACCATAAAGCGGGTAAAACTGTGATCTCGTCTCTCTGCTGCCGTCTCTTGCGAGCGCCGGGCGGCGCGACGCCAAGCAGAAAGAACGTCACACACAAACCAAGAAAGAACGAGGACGGGAGAAAAACCCTGAAGCGATCTAAACGAATGCAATAAGAAAGAAAGAAACAAACAAACAAACCAAAAAACTCCCAAAAAAAGGGACACTTGGGTAAATACAGGAGAAATGTACGGTGGGTTCAAAGCAGTCTTCCTTTTGCTTTCATAAACTAGCCATGTCTTTAGCTGGATCGTCTCTGTGGCCGATGCTTTCGCCGCCGAAGCCTGCGGGAAACAAACAGGAACAAGTCAGCTGTGGACGAGCGACAGGTCTGCAGCTACTAAAGAAAGACAGGAATCCCCTGTGTTTAAAAGGCCTACATGATAAAAGCAATTCATTTTTTTTAGCAGTTATGCAGCTTTAAAATGTGTGTGAATTAAACTGGGGATCCTGACGAAGAAGTCAAAATACTAAATGGGGGGAAAAAAAAAATGAATATGTAAATACGTTCAGATCGGTCAAAAGATACACATTATGGTGAGCATTACATGCAAATTTCTGGAATTGTGACATTTTGATTGTGTGTGTGCGTTTGCTTTTTTTTTTTTTTTAATCAATGGATATAAGGAGAAAATGTGTTACAGGGAAAATTAACAAAAAGAGGAGTCTTTTCCATCGCTGTCAGTAAAACAAAAACAAGAACAATACATTTACACAAATTAAAAGCACTTTATCCCCCAACACAGAAGAGTCCAAACCAGGCTTAAGCTCATGGACTACTTTAGCTAGTTAAAGAAACAAGCATTTGTTTGTTTTTTTAAGAAAAATACATATGTTAACATTAGGAACTGGAAAATCCAGAGAATGACGAATGTATCCTTTAGGAAAGCAAATCGTTATTTATTCATACATTATCAATCGTTACTTGTGGGGGAGTAAGGGCCTGTGAAAAAACCACAATTACATGTGTAGATTTTTTTTTTAAATTCTTACATTACAAAAGACAGTCGCAGAAAAAAAAATATATATATATATACTTATAAAATAAATAAAGGAAACAAATGGAAAGAAAGATGACAAAGCTGGACGTGTCCCTTAATTGTTTTTTTTGTTTTTGTTTTTTTTTTTTTATTTTTTTTAGATTAGAAATGCGGATACAGGATGTTGTAAGACCATACCAAACGGCAGCATTCGAGAGCGTATGCTTCTCATACCCGGTCCGCATTGAGCGGGCCCTGAGAGTATCTGGGAGTCAGCTCATGGCCTGCAAGGAAGCTCCGCTGGCAGGTACAAACAAGGTATGTCAGAGTTAGGACACAACACACTCTTTCTTTCTTTTTCTTTTTTTTTTCCTTTTTCTGTTTTTCCTTTTGCACATCCTTAACTTTGGCATCCATTTTACTGTAGTAGCAGTAGTTTACCTGTTAACTTTACGGTTTAAAACGAAGAAAAACAACAACAACAACAACAAAGAGAAGGTTGCAAAAAATGAACAAAATAGAGGCAGCGGAAGATGCGGCTGCTCTTAAATAATTGTCACAAGAGCCTTTTACGTTACCACTACTGTAAAACACAAGAAAGAACAACAGAATTACACAAATATTATAAAAACACCAAAGTTTTTCTCATTTTAAAACAAAAAAGCTAATTGAAGTTTTTCTAACAGTATGCGGTTGGTGGTACGTACCGACTTGGAGGTGGACGGTTTGTCCCTTTAATACGGTTTGTAACTGTTGGTGTGACCACCACGCCGTGGTGACTTCCCATATCCACCAGACTGATCTGCAACACACCGTCACACCAGGTTACCTTGGCAACCGCAATACGCGTATCGATACGTCAGCAAACACTCACTGTTGTAGTCGGTATATCCATAATAATTGTTGTAGCCAGAGTAATCGTAGCCTCCATAGCCACCATATCCTTGATTGCCATAACCATAATTTCCATAATTCCCATATCCCTGATTCCAGTAGTTACCATAACCCGGGTTCCAGCTTTGGTTGGGTCCTGCAGACAAATAACACACAGACCACAATGTATTAATAGAAGATCATCTATATGCTTTTTTTTTCTTTCTTTTTGCCTGCCAAACTTCAAATATGAACTTTATTTTAGCAACAACTAAAGCAGATAATTTTTTAAAAAATGTAATTTTTGCTGTGACGGATAAAATTCTATGTTTCAACCACATAATTTGACAATTTAAGAGTAAAACACAAAGATTATATCACAAAGCATGACATTCAGAATAGTATAAATAGGAATAATACGATGTTCTTTAAGTACAATAACCGATTAATTTTGGGAATTATTACTTTCTCACGACAGCAGATTCTGCTGATACATTTTCCCAGAAATTATCGTGATAACCAATAATATTGTTGCTTTGAGAACATTTTCAAGTAAAATGCCGTTAATGGCAAAAAATGCTAAAAAGTTGGCCCTCTCAACGACTAACAAGCTTTTAATTTGGTAAGAACATTTAATGATGGAGCACCTTAAATGTCAAAAATAAGACTTAATGACAATAAAACCAAACAGAATCAGAACCATAAAATAAAATGGTCTGTGAAAGCTATGTAAACACTATTTCCTTTCAAACATTATTAACGGTGAGATTAGTTCTCATAAGTCTGTTTTGGGTCATGTGCTGCTTTCCTGCTCCATTCCCTGAACCGACCACCAGGTGGAGCTGGAGGTCTACCGTGAGAAACTCACCCCCACCTCTCCCTCGAGACCTGGAGGAGTATCCTCCTCTGCCTCCCCAGTACTGCTGCTGCTGGTACTGCTCCTTGGACACGGCCACCTTCACCTCACACTGAGGGAACCAATCACACTTGTTTATTGTACCTTTTACAGACGCCACTGCACGCGACAAGACAAAAAACAAATAAATAAAAAAAGACAGATGGAACCTTGCTGAGCCCGATATTGTGGTATTTCTTCTCCATGATCATCTTCACTGGTTCCTCCTCCTTGAAGGTGATGAAGCAGAAGCCCCGCCGCTTGTTCGTTTTGGTCTCCATGGGAAGCTCGATGGATTCCACCTGATTGTTTACAGCACAGACATGGCGTCCAGTGGGTTTAAGGAAAATAATAGCGCGGGCACATTTGTAACTTAGGAGACCACGCACCTCTCCAAAGGCACCGAAATACTCTCTGACTTTCTCCTCGGGCGTGTCTGGGGACAGCCCACCTACAAAGATCTTCTTCACGGGCTCCTTGCTCTTCATGGCCTTTGCTTTTTTGGGATCAATCACTTTCCCGTTGAGCTTGTGTTCCTTCTGTGAGGCAACCTTCGTGGAAAGAAAGCAAATAGAACAGCGGAAAAGAAACAGAGCCTTTCAAGGCATGTTTAACATAAGAACCAGTTTAAGAAAACACCAAATATATTAGACTGATATCACGGCAGAAAAAAAACAAATACAAAGAAAATAAATGTAACTCTGCAGAGATGCAGTAATGGCCACTGCTAGCTAAAAAGTTAGTTGAGCTAAGATTAAAACACTTATCATAAATATTAGCTCCATTAACACTACAGCGCTACCAACACCTCGCTTAGCAGAAGCTAATGCTAAAGTGCTACACAAACATGTTATTAAGATAACAATGAAATGCTAACCAACATTATGTTTAGCATAGGCTAATCCCAAAATGCTAACTTCAACTGAAATTATATCTGCCCTTGAAGTACAACAATGACCATAACAATCGACAAGCTAACTTTCAACACAGACGTCAAACTTTACTTGACTAAAGTTTTATAAGACGACAAAGAAAAATTAGCACTTTTGAGCTCATTAGAAAAAGCTCCAAAGTGGAAGCTAAGTGCGCTAACTGTTTTCAAAGTTAGCAAAAGCGCTAAATGGAAAGGGAGCTCCAGTAATGTGCCCTCTTCTTCTTCAATAGCGCTTTCTGGCAGTTTACAAACTTTGTGCATTACTGCCATCAACTGGACAGAGATGTAATTCAGAAATTCATTTTCCTTATTTATCTTCAAAACTTAAAATGACTAAATTATATACTAAGTATGTATATAATTTACAATTATGTAAATTATATACATACTTGTAATTTGTATGTTTACACAAACATACAAATTAAATCCTCTCAAATGCGCCCTCCACTGCAAAGATGGTATAAAAACACCTTAATACGTTTCCATTGTGAAATATTTCGCCAACAGTAAGTCCAAACTAGGCGTCAAAGAAATAAAGTGTCAAATAAATTTAAAAATTGAATAATTTGCTCTCCAAACTTAAGATGCACAACAGAGTTTCTAGAGAAGCGCAGCCTCCAGCAGCAAAGGGATACCTTTTCAACGCTTTCTGGATTTTTAAAGAGCACGAAGCCGAAGCCCCGTGAGCGCCCGGTCATAGGGTCCAGTTTTAAAGTGCAGTCCACCACCTCCCCGAACTTTGTGAAGTAATCCTTCAGGTCCTTCTTGGTCGTGTCCCAGCTGAGCCCTCCAACAAACATCTTCCTGGAAACAAAACAGTCCACTTCCTTTACTGCTGCACTGTTTACAATGAATGCAAGTGTCATTACATTCATAATGATGTAATTGCAAAAGGCAAAGTGGACAGCAATGCAATAAATGTGGTTGGAGCAATGTGACTTTGTGACGTCAGAGGAAATCCTAGTTTGAATATTGTAAATTCATTAATTGATCATAAAACAAGAATAATCATTTGCTTCTGGCAAATGTATGACTTTGACTGATTTTTCTATCAAACATATAATGATGGAGTAAAACAAGTCCATCCATGCACCGTGACGACAAACTGTTGCATGCAAAGCTGCATAAAACACCACAGTTTTTGGACTTTTATTACAAACACGCTTTGCTTTCCTCTAGACGTGTTCAGGTGCCAGCAGAAAAAGTTGGTCATTAGGAATCCGTATAGGTGACAAACCATGACACGCTGCCCACCTGGGTTAACACGTCATAAACAGTAAATACGAGCGGAGTCGCCGTAAAACATACCCTTCATCCTCCTCATTTTTACTGGCATCGATCTTCGACCCGTCGGCCTCTCCTCCCATCAGGCCACAGTCCCCAGAGGTGGACATGGGATCGTCACAGTTGCCCTCCCCATCCTCCTCCATTCTCATCATGCTCGAGTCTTCGCTGAATTCATAATCTTCCGACATGTCTCCGATCGATCAGCAGACAGCGGCTGCAGAGGGGAACACAAAACGACACAGTGCGAGAAGGAGCTAAGCTAACGGTAAAGCTGACAGCGAGTGGCTCGAGAGGCAATTTGTTGTCCAGTGCGCTTCGAGGAAAGAGCCGGTCCCGATCAGGCGATCAAAGTCGGCTCGCAAAAAAAAAAAATCTATCACAGACTGAAGTTCAAATAAGCGGATTGCTTTTCAGGAGGAAAGAGATAGAGTTTTGCATAAATTTAAGGGTTAATTTCTGAGCGTCGTTTTGTTTTCATCGCAGTGACTCCTTCTGCGCTTTCGAAACACGTCAGTAAACAAAGTGGAATGGCATACAGCGCCACCTATCGATTCGGAGTGTGTAACGTAAACACTCCGTTGAAGAATAAATAACGTATTGCATATTCATTTTAGTAACTAAAAACACCGTCAATTGACAAACACAACAAAACACTTTGAGCTAAGTTTAACCTTAAAGAATACAAACCCACATACATATATTAGTGGTGACTACCAAGTTATTTAGTCTGATTTTTGTGTTAAAATATTGCTGAAGGGGTGGTAGTAGTGTCTTATTATTTTGCCCCACCCACCTCTGCCCACCCAAAAATATGATATGATGTCGGGAAATCATAATTATTAACAGGAATAAATACTTTAAAACATAACCCTGTGTATTTAATTTATATTGTGTTTATATAGATAGATAGATAGATAGATAGATAGATAGATAGATAGATAGATAGATAGATAGATAGATAGATAGATAGATAGATAGATAGATAGATAGATAGATAGATAGATAGATAGATAGATAGATAGATAGATAGATAGATAGATAGATAGATAGATAGATAGATTACAAAATACCACTCAAAATATCACTACCTTGGCAGAAAAAATGAGATAATATCGCCACCTGCTGGACTGGAGACTGAAGTGACAGCAGAACATGTGAGCTGGTCATAGCTTTGTGCAGTAGCTAACGGCGGGGTAATGGCGTCTTCAGTCAATTAGAGGTAAACCCCTGGTTTGCCGTGAATTGTTGCTAAACTCTCCCGTGTCCCACCTGTCCGGCCCGGAGAAGAAGCCGGAAAGAGAGGGGCTGCCGCCGGGCTGTTGCATAGCACTGCTGCTGCTAGCTTAGCTAACGTCAGCTAACCCACTGCCAGCGGTAAACACTCGGGTCAAAAAATGGCCTCGGTTTCGATTCCTGCCTGCACCACTGCACTTTTACTGGACATCGAGGGAACCACGACGCCAATCACGTTTGTTAAGGCGAGTTTTATTTGTTTAACTCTTCAGTCTTGTTCAAAGAAGATTGGGTCGTGCTAACTGCTTTCTGGTACCGACGAGCTCTCAGTGAAACATTGTTTTGTCTTTTTATTTTGTGTTTAGCTTTCTTTCTTTTATTGTTTGCTCAGAAATCATACAGATCCTTTATGCTGGCTTCACGTTCAACGATTCGTGACGTAACTAGCGCTTTCCTCTCGTGAAGGTCGACGTCATCAACCAAGCCCCTTTTAGAGATTGTTTTCCTTTTTTTGTTCTTTTACCCAGTCACGTCTGTAGCCACGGGGATTGCCAAACGTCTTTGTATTTTACTTAAGAAGCATCAAGACCAAGGGAGCCTGAATGCACCACAATATTAGATGCGCTTCAGGTCATTTATTTATTTATTTTTAAAGAAATACAAACAATTAACTTTCTGTGTTGGCGATTTTATTATCTTTTTCAGGACATCCTGTTTCCTTATATCAGAGAGCATCTTGAGGATCATCTGTCCACGCACTGGGAGGAAGATGAGTGCAAACAAGACGTCCACCTGCTCAAGAAGCAGGTGAGTTGTGTGTTACACTAAGAATCACTGGAGGTCTGGGAAACACTCAGCGACTCGACAGAGGAGGAAGTGCTGACGGCTCTCCCATCCATCATGCCCTCTAAAAGCCCGGCCTGTCCTTTCAGATCGAAGAGGACATGAGGCAGAACCGGGCGTGTCCCGTCCACACCGTGGACCAGACGGTCCACACGGACGAGGAGAAGGCCATCAGGGAGGTGGTGGAGAGCGTGATGTGGCAGATGGCGGCGGACAGGAAGTCCACGGCGCTCAAGCAGCTGCAGGGCCACATGTGGAGGGCGGCCTACACGTCTGGGAGAATCAAAGGCGAGTAAGTACGCCGACGTGTTCGCTCGCTTCCCAAGATTTCAAAAGACTAAGGATTAATGTCTTTATTTAAAGAAAAAACACATGTCTTGACGACGTTGTGTGTGTGTTCCGTTTGCAAACAGGATCTACCCCGACGTGGTGCCGTCCGTCAAAAAGTGGCGGGAATGCGGCCTGAAGGTTTACATCTACTCCTCTGGCAGCGTGGAGGCCCAGAAGCTCCTGTTCAGACACTCGGTGGAAGGAGACGTTTTAGACGTGAGCCGCTCGTCTAGACTTAACCGGGGGGGGATTTTTTTTTTTTTGCTCCCGTGAAGTTTGGTCCAGTTTCGTTGTCCCAACTGTTCCGATCCTGTGTGTGATTCCAGCTCTTCGACGGCCACTTCGACACCACGATAGGAGCCAAAGTGGACTCAAAGAGCTACGAGAGGATCGGCGAGCGGATCGGCTGCCAGCCGGGAGAAATCACCTTCCTCACCGACGTCAGCAGAGGTGAGCCGCGCTTCGCCTTGTCGGACCGGCTGGACCGGACCAGCCGGTTCCGCCGGCTTCCTGTCTGTTCTGCTGCTCTGAAAACCGTCGACTAAAAATGACGAAGGAACAACTGACGTTTAAAACAAAGACGTAGATATAACTGCAAATTCAGATTTGAGCTAATTTCCAGTTTTTCATGGAGCCATTATGTTTAATTTCAGAAACAGAATGACACTGAAAGTACCAGTCAGTTTATTTACAATCATTTTTCTTATTATTCTGGGACCTTTTTGCGAATGTTAACATTCAATAAAGAAAACGTAGCCCTCGTTTAAGAAAAAGTGTTATTTACATTAAAACCTAAAAAGATTAATATAAAAAATACAGCAGATTTCCTGTTGTAGATATTTACCAAAAATAGGTTTTGTTGCTTGCAAAAAGTGAGGTAATATTTGTGACTCCAAGTTGCTTCATGTAGATGGACTGATGAGACAAAAATGTCTCTTTGGATTGTAACCATGTTTGTCATCAAGACTAAAACCAAATATTTTTAACACTTTGGCTTCACTATGTGACTGCGCCACTCGTACAGGACTGGGTGTCAGATGAAGAGGCTTCAGGTGTCAGATTAAGATGCTTCAGGTGTCAGATTAAGATGCTTCAGGTGTCAGATTAAGATGCTTCAGGTGTCGTTACATTTAGGTCGACAGATTGAAACTCCTGACTCCGTGGTAAACGTGCGGCGAGCCGTTGTCGTGTTCGGGCTGCAGAGCGAGCCTGGCTCGAGGTGAAAGCTTGTGTCAAATCGTCTTGACCCGTCCTCACCCGTGGTTTTGTGGTTGCAGAGGCCAAAGCGGCGGAGGAAGCCGGGCTGAACGTCCTGCTGGTGGTCCGGCCCGGAAACATGGAGCTGACGGACGAGGAGAGCGCTCACTACAACCTCATTACCTCCTTTAGTCAAGTTCAGCTGACGGGGCGAGCTTAACGCTGACGCAGTCCGCTTCTCCTCTCCCATCCCTGACTTTCTCTCTTTTTTTTTTTTTATCTACTCTGGTGTTCTTGATTTTGACTGTTGGCAGAAACTGGGACTTTTTATTTTCTTTTGTTCACTGTATGGCTAATTATGTAGCCTTGAATTCCTTTTCTTGTAACAATGAAAGCCTGCGCCCTGCATGGTTTTGAAGCAAAATTCTCTACCAGTCGCTTAGGTAGATCTCTGCTTTGACTAGACCGTTCTAACACGAGAACGTTGCTCGTTAGGGTCACTCCACCTCCGTCTCAAGGGTCTTACGGCTTTCCAGCAGGGTTTATTTCCACCAATAGAAACCCCAAAACATTATGCTGCTACACGGCGGAGATGATGTTTGCATTGTTGCTCTTTAAGCTGTGCAATTCTTTTTTTTTAAACAATGCTTTGAATATCTCTACGACTGTATAACCCTGTTTGTTCTCCGACAAATCTGTGACGCCTTCACAGAACATCTGGATTTCTCAGTCTCTCCGAGGAGATGCTACGAATGCAAATTCAATCGTCGCCCTTGCAATTTTCACCAATCATTGCGACTTTTCTGCAAATCGGACCAATCTCTGACCAGTTTTCAGTTTCATCCCTTTCTGACCAGCCACTGCAGCTCTCCACCTTAAGCTAAAAGACGAGTTAAGCCACATGACTCTGTCATATCAAGCCTGTTGCTGCCTGTTTTGCAGCCGTTGCACGTCAGTCAATCCCTTTTTTGTTTCTCTACAGTTTGCTGTTGCTTCCCACATATTTAAAGTAAATTTTTATTGCCGGTCAGTCAGATATTGAACGTTAGAAACAACACAGCAATAGCAACAATGACGTGAGTTTTTTTTTTTTTTTTTTTTTTTTGGGAGGGGGGGGAGGGGGGTATGGGGGGGGGGTTCCTGAATAAGGAAAGATTACAACTTGATGAGAAAATCAGAGGAAAGGGAAGGTTATGTGCAACATTTTTTTTTACAAGACCATGTTATGGAAAAAATAAAGTTTAAAAAGAAAAATCACAAATTTATGTAAAAGATGCTGCAAAATGAGTAACTTTTTACCAAAACGTAGACAAAAACAACTAAAAGATTCTCTGTCCAATGTAGTTTTATTTAAGGGTATCAGAGTAAAATAGCTGAATAGAAATAGCTTCAGATTTTCATTTGCTTCCACTTAACTATTATTTGCTCCTCTTTTTTTTTCTTTTTTTTTTGTTGGTCTATTCCATAAAATACATAGAAGTTTGACAAAGTGTGGAAAAGCTGAATGCTCTTTGCTTGGCGTTTGTATCCCTGAGATCACGGCAGGAACGCCTTCATGTGTACAGAGTGACATAACCACCAGCAGAGGGAGGTCGGTGTCATGGCAACCCGAGCAGGACAGTGAGACTGCAGATGGGTGCTATACAATCGCAGAAAACCGTGAGGTCACTACTTGACGTTTGAACTTTTAGGTGAACCGTGTGTCTGACTGCCACTTTCCAGCTGTTTGTGTATGAGAGTGATGTATCCGTTCCCCGTTTTGTAAAAACGTGGTCTGCCTGTGCGACGGCGAGACGCGCTTCCGTCGGGACCTCTGGTCGTGTTTTAGAGCGTAGAATCACTGTGTAGAAGCACTCCGGCGCGCGCGGCGCCGACGGCAAGCGCTCGCTCCCTGCCAGAGTGCGAAAGTCTTAACCCCTCCGCAGGCGGGCGGTGTCTGTCTTAACGTGTGCCGTCTGTCGCCTGTAACGGAGGAAAACGATCAAATGTGTAAACGGAGTCGGTACTAATCCAGAAATAAACACCTTCTCTCACACAAGATGCCTGCGTCTCTTTAGTTTGAACAATTTTTTTTTATTTTTATTTTGACAAGACTCTGGTATGCTATGATTGAATAGCTAAACTTTTACTCGTAGGAAACTGTCAGCATCTTCGCTTTGAAGCAAAAATTAGTTTTTAGCTAACAGCTACTCGCTGTCATTGTCACTATGTGCAGGGGATAAATAAAATGTTGTGTGAACCAGGTTTAAATGGAGCCACGGATGTACAATAAGGAATAAAAGATTCTATCTTATTTCACTCAGACACTTTTTCCTTCCACTCAACTTTCTGCCCCATCTAATATGCTTGGATACATCAATGGAACATCCAGCTTTAATAACTTTGTGGTTTTCTCCTCAACGTGGAAGGAGTCAGGTACTTATTAATTACTTGTCTTATGTATTTAATACTCAGAATTAGTAAAACTGATTTTTAGATTTTTATAGCTAAAAATGATTGACATAAACATCTGAAGTATTTACCTGTGTAACGAGTCCAAGAAGGACTTTTTGATCCGATCTGCTGAAATGAATGAGCCTTTCACATGTATGATGCGTACCAAACAAGAAAAAAGAAATCAAAATTCATGTAATCACAAAAATACAAATTTTTCTGTCATGAAAAACTCAACTTTAATAAGTTGAACACTTTATTGCTTTAAAAATGTAAAATCTATTTGGCATTTCTTCCAGGTTGGTGGTATGATATTTTTACCAAGGCTAAACCAGCCATATGTCACATCCAGCTTAGCGGTGGTCAGCACCAGTTAGAAGAAATAACTAACTTTCCTTAGATGGAGACATAAACTGTAACAAGTATCTTATTAAGACATCTCAAAATAAATCCTGAAAATAAAAAAAAATCTATATGTGAAACATTAATACAAAGCATGTCATTGTAACCAACTTGAATAGTGAGATATGTTCATCGTCTGCAGGTGTTCGAACACAAGACCTTGTGGCATTCCTATGGCTCTGGTTGCAACTCTATGGAGCCATCAGCATCTTCATGCTGACTCTTGGCGCTCACCGTGTCTCTGCACACCACCTCAAAGCGGCAGTGACGAAAGTCGAAGGCAAAAGTGCTGATGTATATGAGGAAGAGCATGACCACGGCCCACTGGCAGCGAACCGTGTGCATGTGGGGGATAACAGCCAAGCCTGCATTGGGAGAGTCAAGGATGAAGACGGGAAGGCAATAACTGAACATTAAATCTCACAAATATAACATTAAGACAAAAAGCAAACAGTGGTGGGCTCCAAATAGAGGAGCTAATTTTTCATTCAGCGCTTTAGCTCTTTTAATCATTTGGACAACGTTTACCCCACTTAAGTTCTCCTACATAAATTTTTCTAAATTTTCTAGGCTGTTGTGAAAACTAATGTTTAGTTTAAGTGCTTCAGAGTTAGCCTGGCAAACTTTTGAGAATTGATGTCCACCACTGGTAAACAAAAAAGAATCCTAGAACATTTCTAATAACCAACAGGCTAATTAATGTAACTGAACACAAGACAATCCGAGACGCAGGTTTTCCTTTACTACCTGAGAGTGAAAGGATACCATACTTCAGTATAATGCAGAGAGAGATGGCTGCAGACAGCACCAAACGGCCGATAGCAAGCACCCTCCCCTGGTTGTTCAGATTAACTTTCCAGGTGATGTAAGTCTGAAGCCAGCAGTACAAGTTGCCCAGTCCAAACGCCAGTAACGTGCCCATGTTGTGAGTCACCCTCATTGCCAGGAGCTACAAAAACGGACACGAGTCAGTCTGTCGCAGTGTCATAAAGTCGATTTCTTAATGATCAGCGTTTACCTGGAAGTTTCCCACAATCGTCATCCCAAAACAGGCGACGGAGAAACACACCACACTGAAAACGTTCAGCCACCGCTTGTCTAATTTGGTCTTCAGCTGAAAGTACCTGAGGACGCCCACGACAAACGCTTAAACAGAGAAAAAGCAGGAAGAGCCACAGGGGTCAGCGAACCGATCATTCGAAATAGAACAATTAGGATTCATACCGCTTAAACATTTACATATTTTGCCAAACAACAACCACAAAAATTAATATATTTCATTGGGATTTAATGTGAAAGAGCGACACCAAACGGTGTACAATTGTGAAAACGATACATGATGCTGAACATTTTTTTTTTTTTACAAATAAACTGAAAAGTGTGGTGTGCACAAGCATTCAGTCTCTTTTTCTTTTTCTGAGTGCAACCAATTGCCTTCAGACGTTGCCTGGTGACGCCTAACGCCAGCAGCCTGGACTTTGTGTCTGAACGGCGTTTCTTTACCTGCGAACGCTGCCAGGTTCAAGATCTCACTGAAGTAGCAGCTGGCTGGGGGGAAATTCCCTGTGATGCTGATAAAACACAAAGCATGACAAAATAACAGCAAGCGGCTCCGGCTTCACTGTTCAAAGGAGAAGGAAGAACAAACGCAGTGTGTACCTTATGAAAGGAGGAAGTGCAGATAGATTTCCCTTTCTAGAAATGAAAGAAACAAAATCTTATTCTAGGGCTGCACTGAGTAAATCCTCAGAGAGGGTCAGTCGTACCTGTATTCCGAGGTCAGAGGCAGCACTTTCCCATCATAGAGAGCTATGAAGTACCTGTTTGAGCACAAGGCGGCAGAACAGAAGCACAGAGGCGCGTTAGGAACAGGACGCGCTGCAGTCCTACATATTCTTCTTACAGTTTTAAGATTGTAGAAAAACCTTTTTGCCATTTGATTGAACAAATCAAAAGCACATCAATAAACTATCGATGAGTCGTGCTGATTCTTGAGTTTTTTTTTTTTTTTGTCCAATCTCTATTTAATGTTCAGGCATTAACTCTTTTACTTTTTCATTTTCTGAATGAAGGTCAAAAAGAGGTTGAACTTACACGACCCAAAGTCCAGCAGCAGTAAACATGGAGAGGACAGGAGGCAAGAGGACCAGCGGTCTGCACCACCACATGTTCACCATTCTGATGTCACGCACACACACGCACCACACGCACACACACGCACACACAGCATTACTTCACATGAAGATAATGAACTCTTTGTCAGCTTTAAAGCATACAGAAAACAAATAAGTGTGTTTATATTTATCCATTTCTAGTTGTCAGTTTTATTTTCATGCACACACATTCATATATATGTGTGTGTGTGTATATATATATTATATATATATATATATATATATATATATATATATATATATATATATATATATATATATATATATATATATATATATATATATATATATATATATATATATATATATCTATCTATCTATCTATCTATCTATCTATCTATCTATCTATCTATCTATCTATCTATATATATATATATATATATATATATATATATATATAGATATCTATCTATCTATCTATCTATCTATCTATCTATCTATCTATCTATCTATCTATCTATCTATCTATCTATATATATATATATATATATATATATATATATATATATATATATAGATAGATATCTATCTATCTATCTCTATCTATCTATCTATCTATCTATCTATCTATCTATCTATCTATCTATCTATCTATCTATCTATCTATATATATATATATATATATATATATATATATATAGATATATAGATATATATCTATCTATCTATCTATCTATCTATCTATCTATCTATCTATCTATCTATATATATATATATATATATATAATATATATATATATATATATATATATATAGATATCTATCTATCTATCTATCTATCTATCTATCTATCTATCTATCTATCTATCTATCTATCTATCTATCTATCTATCTATCTATATATATATATATATATATATATATATATATATATATATATATATATATATATATATATATATATATATATATATGCCTTCATCAATCACAGAAATGAGCGATGATGGCCTGCAGGTCTAATGAACCCTCACCTCAGCCTGAGTGCGGCGCTCTGGTGCTGGAAGAGTCAGATCTTTGGGGTGATTTCCTCATGCACACAGCCGCTCTCTGGATCCTCTTCACCTTGGCTTCAGGCCTTCTCACTCCGTTCAGATGCAAGCGAGTCGACTGTTCAGAAGGAAAAACCACATTCCTCTTCTCTGCAGGAGACTTTATAGGTCACTTTCCCATAGCGCAGTCTGCTTCACTTTTTCACCATCTTCTCTTCTTCAGTCAGAGGCGTCATCAGATTTGTTGCAGGACTGACTGCTACCACAGCTACTTTCCTTTCATTTCGCTTTAAATAACGCAGTTTTGAAATGAGTTGAATTAAACGCTTCCCCTTCCTGTATTTTTAGGTATTTTTAAATTGAGCTGAACTGAATGCATCTCTTCTAAGAAATATTGCATCTTCCTCTTTTTTTTTTGCAATGAAACTAATTATTAAAATACATTTTAGGGCAGATGAAGCTGATTACATTTGAACCTGAGCTGCTCTGTCACATCTGGAGGGAGAGTTTTTACTGTCAACATATTTTAACACTGAAACTGTCGAGAACGCAGAGAAATCTCTTCCCCCGCTAAATAACAGACGGAGCGAGTCGGACGTAACGACGTCACAAGCACTTCCCGACACGAGACGTCACGTTCCTGCGTCCTAAAAGCGGCAGGACGGAGGAAGCGGGAGTTCCACCGTGTGAAACCTTACCCCTCTCTGGGTTCGGTGGGTTTTCTTCAGTGCAGGTGGGTTCGGTTTAATAGAACATGGACGGACCTTCCCCGAGGCTTTAGCTGCGTTCAGACCGGTACATGGACGGGAAAAGAACCAGGATGTGCCAGGCCTCCACGACTCGCTCACCTTGTTTTTATACAAAGAAGAAGAAAGTCAGACTCGCTTCTGATTGGCTCATTTAGTTTCTAAGGCACGAGCTTCTGGAAATACAGGTGAAGGATGGAAAACACTGAATCATGTTATTATAGAGTAATATCATGACTTTTATCATTTAAAATAAATTTACTTAAAAAAAAAAAGAATTCTTGATATTGAAGCCATAAATGATTTTTCCATTAGAATCCAATGGCTGTATATTAAAATATGAACATTTTACACAAGAATGTAATCGTGTATGATTCAAGAGTTTATTAGTAGTTTTACATGTGCTTCTTTATAAATCTGAGTAAACAAAGTGGCTCCAAATATGATCACAGATTCCTGGAAACTCCAGACTTCAAAAACTATAAGACAGAAATAGGACTTTTTCATTGCTTTTGTTATAATAAGTGTAACATTACTCATATTCCTGTGCAGATTTAAATTTAAGATTATTTATTGTACCATGCATTTCATACTGTGATGTAAAATAAATCACACAAGCAACTAAAATCTGACTGAAAGACATGTTTATTCATATTTTATTGCTATAAATTATATCACTTTTTTTTTAGTTAATAGGAAAACCTCTTTTTTCCCCTGCATGGTCCCACTGGTGTTTTGAAGATTTATTGATGTCGCCGTAATTTTTAGCTAAGACTCACTATTCTGGTGGCGACTTCAAAACATTATTTCCAGTTGCTCAAACTAAAAAAATAAAACAAAAAAGGCCTCATCTGATTTGTTGCAGGACTGACTGCTACCAGAGGTACTTTCATTTCATTTTGCCTTAACTCAACTCATTTTGAAATGAGTTGAGTTAAACACTTCCCTTCTTTTAATTTCCCTCTAAGTATTTTTAAATTGTGCTGAATTGAATTATTAGAAATATTACATCTCCCTCTTGTTTTTTGCAAAGAAACTAATTATTAAAATAGATTTTAGGGCGGATAAAAGCAGGACAACAGCTGCTGCTGTTCAGCCATTAAACCTGGTGACAGGAAGAACGTTTCCTGACAGCTCTAATGACAGCTCTGTCACATCTGGAGTTATAAAAAGTAGAACAAACAAAAAAAAAAAGACAAAAAACAGAAACAAAGACATAAGGTAATTTGTAAATAAATACTATTTATTGAAAATATTGCCTGTAGTCAGTCAGAAACAAAAAGACTTGTTTTCTCCTAGAACAGAAAGTGAGGTCGACCAATCAGGCAGCAGCCCTCATCGTTGCTGGAATGAATTATCAAGTACAGACTCCTTCCAGGTTCCCTCTGAGGTCCGATGGATCAGCACAGAATTTTCTCCTAACATTTTAAAGACAGCCGAGCCGAATGTGTGTGTGTGTGTGTGTGTGTGTGTGTGAGAGCATGCATATGCTGAAATACGATAAGCTTGTTTCCATAAAGGTCATTGCACGCTGTAGAGCCTCGTGATTACACTGCTAAAAAACATCAAAGTAAGACGAAAATAAAAACGAATTTAATAAAAACATAGATATTGTCAATAGGAGGGACTTTGCTGCTGTGTTGGTCGTCCAACGTGTTGACCGCAGCGCCACCAGTGGTGAAAGTAAGCGAGCTGAACTTGAGATCACAACACGAACATGGATTTGTGAAAAAGTAACTGGCCCTAATTACATAATACCCAGTTTGTTTTAAGTTTATCAACATGATTTTCTAAAGGTTCATTGCAAATTTTATGGACCTAAATTAAAGAAGAAAAAAAAAGAAGAAATTTGTGGATTGGAAGGCATAGAAGCGTTGATGTAGTGCACAGATTAGAGATTATAAAGACGAACAAGCGAAAGTTTCCTAAATCTGAAACTTGTCGCATCGTTGAATGAAATGTGAGCGAAAAGCATGCAGCAGAAATCTGCTATTAATACATAATTAATGCTAGCTTTAATTTGTGACATTATAACACTGAGTAGGAACACAGATGTCCCGTTTTTTTCACCATCATCACTCCTGACAGTTTTTTTTCTATTATTTTACACAGTTTTACCTTAAAAAGAGGTTTTGCATATTATTTGCCGCATCTGATTTAAACCCGTGGTTCAGAACCCGCCAGCCCATGTAAAGGCCGGTGTGGTATTTTTCTGAATAGCCCTTAATTTGACTCAATATTTACTTTCACCACCGAGCGTGACCGACCGCATGGCTTGTTTGAGTTGCGTCGTAAAACAAGAACAAACAAAACAAAACAAAAAAACGCAAATGGCACTAAGAACAGCCGACCGTTACAGCTGAGAAGTCTCAGGAGTCGTTCGCGTCGCTGACCGAACGAAGCAGCTCGTGAAACGGGCGACCGGCGGCGCCGCACTCGGATCTCAAACGCCGAGCTTGTTGGCTTGCGTCAGCACCACCTTCAGCACGGGCATGAAGGCCGACGTCTCGCTGAAGTTGCTGCTGCCGACGATGTGGGTGTGGATGTTCAGGCCCTCGGCGTAGGAGCGAGACTCCACGCTCCGCGCTATGCTGTGGAGTCCTCCGATGATGGCAGGAGAGAGCTGAGCGGAGGAGAAACGGCAGCGTTAGAAATAAATTCAATTCAAGGAAGAAAAAAAAAGTGTCTCATTTAGAGAATAAAGTCATAATCTTATGAGAAAATCTGGTTACGAGAATAAAGTGGTGGAGCAAAGTTGTAATAATATGAGAATAGAGTAATCAAATACAAGAATGAATTCATAAAATTAACATAAAGCAGAAGTATTACAAGAAAGTTGCAAAATACGAGAATCAAATCATGAAAATGAGAGAAAAGTCATAATGATACAAAAACAATGTCACAAAATATGAAAACAAAGTTATAATAGGAGAAGATCGTAGTAATACAAGAATAAAGTTATATTACCATAAAAAAGTTGTAAAATACGAGAATAAAATCATAAAATATCAGAAGAAAAGTTGTGATAATACCATAATAAATTCATGATATGAGAAGAATGTCATAATAATAAAGTCATATTATCCCAAAATAACATGACTTTTGGTATGACTTTACAACTTTAATTATTAAAATCAAAGTATTTTTTTTTTGTATAATAAAAATAAATATTTTTATTTATTTATTCATTTTATAAATTTTATATACAATATAAAGTTGTAAAAAGATGCATATTTGACGACTTTAAAGTCAGCAGTTTGGATGAATTCATGTATTAAAGTGGTCTAGTCAAAGTCAAAGACGTGCACACATACTGGTCATCCAATCTGGCCGTTTTGCGGTGAAACATTTGCGCCAAAGTCGCCGTGGCAGCGAGACACACTCACCGTCTGCTCCCTGAGTTTGTCGTAGAGCGCTTCCAAGCGTTTGTTGGCGTCGTCGAGCTTCCTCTTGGTTTGCTGTGAGGAGAGGACGAATAAACAAAGGCTCAGGTGTGTTGAACGGAGACAGAGGCGAGGCAGAGCTCGTCCACGACAGACTCACAGGGTCGGTCGCTACGGCCAAGCATTTCTGGATCAGACCCTCGAACGTCGTCTTCAGCACCAGGTGTTCGTCGGGGATTGGCTTCTTCATGATCTTCTCAGCAGGGATCGACTGCAGAGTCTGACAGCAGCGAACGCCGATCAGAGGCATTGTACATTTAAAAAAAAGATGGAAGGAAGTACATTTTGCGCAAAAATATTTTTAGACTAATCAGAAATTTTCTAAAAAAAAAACCACGTGATTGAACATTTGTGAGCAAAAGACGTCAGAAATGTTGTGTTTGAAATGATATGGACAGATGGCCATTAGATCCGTACCTGGATGGCGTCTCCTGTCGGTGCTCCAGGTGGGCCCTCCATGTTGGAGTTGGGCATTGAGGCTGGGTTCATGCTTTGACTGGGGAGCTGGGTCTGGTGCATGCCTGAGTATGGGCCCTGGGGGCCCTGCAGCAAATCCTGGGGGCCTCCAGACGACATGGGCTGAGCCTGAGGGTCGGCGCCCGGCGGGGCCAGAATGGGAGCCGTGATCGGGGTGGGTGGGGTGTAGTTCTGTGGAACCTGCTGTGGAGAAAAAACAATCATAAAAACAAAACATTTGCTCTATTTCAGCATCTAAAAACTCCTGGACTGGTCAAATGAGGAAAGGTGCGTTCCAGGCTATATGCAGGTCCATTTGTAGTTTTGGAGCCTTTGTGCTGTTTGAAGATTTAGTGTTTTGTTCGGCCTTTTAAACCGAGTTCTAGACTCCAAACAGGTAGGAACTGTGTGTTTCTCTCCAATCTGTCCTGAATCTTAATGAACGTAATCTGTTCAACAACAGGAGTGGAACCCCCCCCCCCTGTATATTTGTGCATCATTTCTGCAACACTAATGCTAGCATGCTAGCTAAGTGAAACATGCTTGTGGTCCATGGATGGAAACATTTATATAATAGCAGTGTCTGGTTTTGTTGTTGGTTTTTTTTTTTATATAAATAATGAATGCAGACTCACCTTCTTCTTTGGGGCTCGGGTCAGAGCTGGAGGGTCGTTCCAGCCATTCTGGGGTCCTACACACACACACACACACACACACACACACGAACACGCACGCACCTCAGCTGTTTGTTTTACCTTTTCTACATTTGCCAGCACACAATGTTCCACATTTGGCCTTTCTGACTCCTTTAACAGAGCTAGATGAACTCAGACACAGCTAGAAAACTCTTCATTATTCAGCATTACACTCTACATATGTGTTTATACACAAAACATTTCATATAAAGACAGTTCTTTATGACATTCAATATCTTTAAAACTGGTTACCAAGTATAACAATCATTTAAATTTCACATGAACATATACTAATGAATGAAAGTGAAATTAAAGTTTGATTTCTTTGCCTGGATAGTTTGACAACCAAAACAAATCAAAACCCCACTCCTTGTTGGTTAATCATTCTGAGGTTAGAGACCAATGCAGTCTTTATTGCATCATTAATTTGAAGTCATTACCTACAGAAAGCCATGCAAATTAACGCCACATCATTCCGACATTTTCCCAGTCACGATTTCTGTCTGTCTTTTTTGCTCTCAGCCAATCAGTGAGCTAGCAGCGACCACGAAGGGAGAACCGCCGTTCCTGACCCACCCTGCAGCGTGGCTTTATCTTGTATTCAGTTTAATCAACGTAACTAAATCATGTCATGTGCTGAATATTTTTAATTTTTGTAGAAATTTAGAAAAAAAAACATCTCTCAGAGACATAATTATTCTTCAAAGGCGTCCCTCATCAGTCAATTTGCAGAAATCAAACAATATTTTTTTGTTTAAATCTTTTTTAGTTGAGCAGAAAACTTTTGAATTAATCTGTGACTTTAGGAGTCTCTACAAACACACGTCTGCCAACAAGAACAACACATTCTGTTAAGTTTATTATTATTTATTCATATTTTTATTACAATTAGCAACTGTTTTTAATTAAAAAAATAA